AAAAAAATATTTGACTACATAAAAGGTGAAACTACTTACTGATACATTCTTAATAAAAATGGAAACCAATCTAAATTTCCATCACAGGAGAATGGGGAGATAGATGATGGTATAATCATATAATGGATTATTAGTGAGCAGGAAAATTTAATGAATAGTTCCTACACACAACAATGTGGTGGAATCTTTAGTGAAAAAGTCATACAAGAATAAATAAATAAAAAAGAAAAAGTCATCCAAGATTATCTGCTGTATTTATCATTTTCATTAAGCCCACATTTATGTGGTAAAAACTGTATTTAAAAGTTTTATTTTGAAAACACTTTTTAAAAAGTAGCATCACGAACCCCCAGAGAACATCATTTTGGGGCTTCCCTGGCGGCTCCGGGGTGAAGAATCCGCCTGCCAGTGCGGGAGACCTGTGTTCGATCCCTGGTCCAGAAGGACCCCAGGTGCCTAGAGGCAAGCAGGCCGGTGGGTCACACCTACTGAGCCTGTGCTCTGAAGCTAGGGAGCCGCAGCTGCTGAAGCCGCTCGGGCCCACGCTCTGCAACAGAAGCCCGCACAGCACGCCTGGAGAGGGGCACCCACTCGCCACAGCCAGAGAAAACCCGGGCAGCAGTGAAGACCCAGTACAGCCCAAAGTAAACGTAAACTAATACAGTTAAAAAGAACATGACTCCGATTCAACAAGGATTCATATTTTGCCATATTTGTCTAATCCGTCTTTTTTTCTTGGTGCAGTAATTTGAGGCAAATCCCACATATGTCTGTCTATATCTACTTAACTTTAGTAGGCATGTAGTCAATATATTTAGAGACATTTTCTTACATTGTAACAATGCCATGATGACATCAACAAGTTAGCAGTCATTCTTTGGTATTATCTCAGTCCATAATTGATTGTCTCCTTATTTCAAAAAAATTACTTTTAATAAGCTGATTCATTTGAATTATGATCTAAATGGTTCAAGTGTTTACTTCTGGTTGTCTTGCCTCTAGGACTCCTAATCTGAGGTAGCTCCTCTCTCATTCTTTTTTATTTTTTTAATTTTCATTGGAGAATAGTTGATTTACAAACTTATATTAGTTTCGGGTATACAGCAAAGTGAGTCAGTTATACTCCCCTCGCCCCCCTTTTTTTTTCATGTTTTGACTTGTTGCAGAAACTGATTCAGTTGTCCCTGCCAAGTGTCCCAAATTCTGGATTTGTCTGTTGCTCGCCTGTGATGACCTTTCACTTACCCTTCTATCACCTAGGGCTTCCCTGATAGCTCAGTTGGTCAAGAATCTGCCGCAATGCAGGAGACCCTGGTTCAATTCCTGGGTGGGGAAGATCCCCTGGAGAAGGGATAGGCTACCCACTCCAGTACTCTTGCACTTCACTTGTGGCTCAGCTGGTAAAGAATCTACCTGCAATTCGGGAGACCTGGGTTAGATCCCTGAGTTGGGAAGATCCCCTGGAGAAGAGAAAAGCTACCCACTCCAGTATTCTGGCCTGGAGAATTCCATGGACTGTGGAGACCATGGGGTTGGAGTCAGACACGACTGAGAATTTCACTTTCACTTTTCTATCACGTGTGTGTGCGCGCGCGCTCAGTCGTGTCTGACTCTTTGCGATCCTATGGACTATAGCCTGCCAGGCTCCTCTGTCTATGGAATTTTCCAGGCAAGAACACTAGAGTGGGTCACCATTACCTACTTGGGGAGATCTTTCCAATCCTGGGATCAAAGGAGAGTCTTTTGTGTCTCATGCATTGTAGGCAGATTCTTCACCACTGTGCAACCTGGGAAGGCCTTATCACCTACATCTCCTCTAAATGAACTTTGCCCTAGAGGCCTGGTAAAAGTCAGGCTTGACTTTTTTGAGGTTGGTGCTGTGAGTGTCACACTGCATGACATCTGGAAATGTGATGTTCAGGTAGGTTGTTCTGATTTCAGCAATGCGGAGATTTATCTGTGGTTCAGGTAAATCAGCCTGATCCCTCCATGGTAAAGTTTCCTATTGACACCTTATCTAATGCTTTTATACATTTGTGACCATTGATAGTATCAATTATTTCACTAGAAATTGCAAAATGCTGTCTTTCTAATCCTATCTTTCCTTCCACATTTATTGGCTGAAATGCACAATCCTGAGTTTCTAATTCATTATTCCTTCCATATGTATTTACAGGAAGTCTGCTGCAAATAACTTTCCCTCACCAACTGGAGGTATTTGGTTACCCCAAAATACAGTTTATACAGGAAAGGCAAGAAAAGACAGAAATCTTCATTAATATTGTCCACTGACATATCCTAAGTGTTGGTATGTTGTTTGGAATATATAGGACACTCAATAAATATTTTCTAATTGAATGGGAATCCATATATTGGAATACGATGTGCCTCTGAAAAGAATGAAGAAAATGTACATCTATCTGTATTGACATAATACTTATAAATAATGTTGAGTGTAAAAAGTGGGAGATAGAAAAATAGGTATAGGATGAGTCAATTTTTATAAATATATATATTCTCAATGTAGCAAAAATAGGATTAGTGGATGAATGTGATAAAACAAACAATAAAATGCTAATTGTTGAGTTTGGATAGTGATTATATGAATTTTCCCTGTTGAATCTATTTAGTTTTTTGTTATGAAAAGGTTCATTGCAAAATGTTAGAAAAAGATATGTGTGTAAAAATCTGTACTTCTGAAGGGTGGGTTTGGGGATAAGGATGAAACTTTATATAGAGCAAAACTTTTAAACTATCTTTTGACACAGTAATTCCGCTTTTAGGAACCTATCCTAATATAGTAATTCTAAATATTAAAAAAAGTAGAAAAAATTTTCATGTTGAAAATATTTTATAATAAAATGTGGAAATATCTTGAATAATAATAGAATGATCACATTATGGTATAGTAATTAGGTTCGTTATAAATGATAAAAATAATGTAGTAAATTGAAAGTACTTATGGGGACTTCCGTAGTGGTCCAGTGCTTAAGACACCGGGCTCCCACTGCAGTGAGACATGGGCTCCATCTCTGGCCAAGGAAATGAGATCCAACACGCCCCACGGCAGCAGCCAAGGCGAGCACATGAACAAAGAAGCACGGTGATACAAACTCTACCAAAGTGACACCAGCGAGTTTTTAAATGGTGTACATAAACCACAGAGCACTATTATATGACTCCAAAATTCCATGCTTGGATCGGTATCCAAAAAAATGAGAACATAAGTCCACAGAAAAACTTGTATATCGGAACAGAAAGTAAATTAATAGTACCAAGACCTGGTCGGGTGAGGGAAAACAGGGAGTGATTATTCTAATGGGTATAGGGTTTCTTTGGGGGATGATGAAAGTATTCTAAAATTGATTGTGGGGATGGTTGTACAACTCTGCAAATATACCAAAAGCCATTGAACTGTACACTTTAAATGAATAAATTGTATGGTATGTGAATTATATCTCAATAAAACTTATAGAAAATGTTAATGGTAACACATGGAAAAGAAAGTTGGAAGGAAAAAATGTGTTTGAGGAGGTAGGATTATGGGCGATTAAATTCTACTTCCCTGTATGTTCCAGCTGTTATTCATATGTGTCATTTGTACAAGGAGATAAGCTGTTTTAAAAAGCACAAGATGTAGAGAAGGAAATGGCAACCCACTCCAGTATTCTTGCCTGGAGAATGCCATGGATAGAGGAGCGTGGTGGGCTACAGTCCCCGGGTCGAAAAGAGTGGGGCAGGACTGAGCGAGAAAAAAAAAAAGGAAAGATGTACTTTTCAGAGTGCTATTTTACGATAAATAATCAGTGTGACAACTATTCCTCTTGCTTATTTGCAGGTTGTGGGTTTTATGTTTATCATATTTTTTAACCCTCTATTTATTTAATTTTTGGTCTAGCCTATGCAAAGCTGTGGGATCTTATTTCCCTGACAGGGATGGAACTGGTGCTCTCTGCACTGGGGGAGCACAGAGTCTTAACCACTAGATCGCCAGAAAAGTCCCTATGATAATATTTTTAATATTAATATATTTTCATAAATAGAACAGATATCACATATCTATTTTTTCATTTGAAAAGACCCTGATGCTGGGAAAGATTGAGGGCAGGAGGAGAAGGGGACGACAGAGGATGAGATGGTTGGATGGCATCACCAACTCGATGGACATGAGTTTGAGTGGACTCAAGGAGCTGGTGATGGACAGGGAGGCCTGGTGTGCTGCAGTCCATGGGGCCACAAAGAGTCGGACACGACTGAGTGACTGAACTCAACTGATAACTATTTTTCACTATGTATATGTATACACACACACACACACACATACTTACTGCAGTTTAGTTAGGAGGCGGGAGCCAGGAGTTCAGGCAGAGGTGGGGATGGGGTGGGAAGGGCCGGACGAACCCAGGTCCCCTACCTGTCCAGGATCTGGCCCTTCTCCTTACTATCCCTTCGGCTCTCGACTCCCCTTGGCAGAGAGCCTTTTCCCGGTCCTGTCCCGCCCTCCGGTGGGGTCACCGTCCCCTCGCTCTGGCCGGTGGTTGGCGAAGGTGCCCCAGGCTCACTGGCCGGGGCCACAGTTCCACCCGCAGGGGTCAGCACCCCCCCCCCGGAGTCACAGCCCCTCCCTCGGGAGGCGGGGGCTCAGTAGCCACAGGCCGGGGTCACAGTTCCCCACACGCGGTAGACTCATAATCTCGGGCCCACGGGACGGGCCCTCCCTCGGCCCGGGGCCCCCTTTCCCGCCCGGGAAGCCCGGGTCCCTCCCCGCGGCGGCCGGCGGCTCCTCCTCCCGAGCCATGGTGTGGGTCCCCGGGGGCCCCGGCGGTCCCGACGAGTCCCCGGGGGCCGGGCCCGAGGTCACGACGCTCGAGAGGCCCGCGCCGGCCGCGTCCTCGCTGGCGGCCGCGGACGCCTCGCCGTCCCCCTGGCCCTGCCCGCGGCCGCCCGCCTCCTGCCCGGCGGTGGGCGGGTCGCCGCTGCGCCGCGCCGGCTGGGCCGGGATGGCGGCCGGCACGTTGCTGGAGGCCGGCCTGGCCCGGGTGCTCTACTACCCGACGCTGCTCTACACGGTGTTCCGCGGGAAGATGCCCGGCCGGGCGCACCGCGACTGGTACCACCGCATTGACTCCACCGTGCTGCTGGGCGCGCTGCCGCTGCGGAGCATGACGCGCCGGGTGAGCCGGGCCGGGCGGGGCCGGGCCGGGCCGGGCCGGGCCGCGGCGGGGCCTGCGCGCCTGGCGAGCGCCGCCCGGGCCTCGGCCGCCCGCCCCTGTCTGAGCCACCTCTTTGCCTCGGCAGCTGGTCCAGGACGAGAACGTGCGCGGGGTGATCACCATGAACGAGGAGTATGAGACGAGGTTCCTGTGCAACTCCTCCAAGGTGAGGCCCCGGGGCCCGGCGCCCCGCCCGCCACCGCTATACCACTCCGCGGTCTGGGCGAGCCGGAGAGGTTGGGGGGAGGCTGTGCTGTAGGTTACCTTGCCCCAGACTGGGGTGCCCCAGACTGGGGTGTCCCAGGCTTTCTTTTTTTTTTGCCTCGGAGGAGCTGGTCCTGCGGCTGGACGGGATGGAAACTAATTTGTCATTTAGAAATTGATGTGAAAGGTATTTCACAGTAGAGTCGCGCAACTTCGATTACTCCTTGTGCACACGTGTATTCTCCGTTTTGGTAACTCACATCAGCACCCAGAACTGAAAGGCAACGTTTCTTTTTTGGCTGCGCCTCGCAGCCTGTGGGGTATTAATTCCTCAATCAGGGATCAAACCTAAGACCCCTGCAGTTGGAAGGGCAGCGTCCTAACCACTGGACCGTGAGGGAAGTCCTGAGAGGCAACTTTTCTCTGGCTTGCTTTCATTCATTCAACACTTCATGAGCACCAAGGATGGATCGGACACTGTTAAGATATTCAAGACGAAGGCCCTATAAACTGTAAAAAGGAAAGCTACCCCCAATCCCTGATAACTGTATCATAAAACTCTTTGTAAAAACTGCATAGAATTCATTTGGTTTTGATTTAAGAGAATTTCATTTATATGTTAGAGATGATAGTGGAACTCCAAAGCATGGTCTTTTAAATGAAGTTCAAGCCTAAAACCTAGTTTTCATTAGATGTGAGTGGTTTTTTTGTGCAACTCTTCATGATGGTTATTAGTTGTTGTCCTGTCTTTATACTGTTTGACTTCTATTAGCACTGCACAATTATCTTCCCTGTTTACTGTACTGATAGAGCCTAATGAACATGCAGTTATTTCAAACCATAGATTTTTTTTTGAAATCTAAAAAAATAATTGTGACTCACATTTAAAATCTATTGATCAAAAAAAAATCTATTGGTCAGTGATGGCATAGATTTTTAAAGAATAGATAGCAGTTCCTTGGATTTCCCACAGAACTTTGCCACAGAACCTCAGGAGTTATTAGCCAAAATGTGTTATTGGCCTCAGTGTGGTCAGTCTTGTGGAGCAAGCCACAGAAAGTGCTTGGTCTCTGGGTGTGAGGCATCTAGATCTGCTATCTTATCTCACTAGCCTAGAGAAAAGACATCTCCAAGGTAATGGTTCTGATATTTTAATATGGCTAAGCATTATCTAGCAGTAGTGGTGTTAGTCACTCAGTCATGCCCAACTCTTTGCAATCCCGTGGACTATAGCCCACCGGGCTCCTCTGTCCATGGAATTCTCCAGGCAAGAAGACTGGTGTGGTTTGCTGTTCGCTTCTCCAGGGGATTTTCCTGACTGGGGGGATTGAACCCCGGTATCCTGCATTGCCACCTGATGCAGAGAACTGACTCACTGGAAAAGATGCTGATGCTGGGAAAGATTGAAGGCGGGAGAAGGGGAGACCCTGATGCTGGGAAAGATTGAAGGCGGGAGGAGAAGGGGACAACAGAGGATGAGCTGGTTGGATGGCATCACCGACTCGATGGACATAAGTTTGAGCAAGCTCTGGGAGTTGGTGATGGACAGGGAAGCCTGGCGTACTACAGTCCATGGGGTCACAAACAGTTGGACACGACTGAATGACTGAACTGAACTGACTGATTCCTGTATTGCAGCAGATTCATTACCGTCTGAGCCCCAGGGAAGCCCCAGGGAAGCATTATCTGACAGTCTGTTAAGACAACACATTCCTAGGTACAACCCCCCAGAGATTCTGACTCAGGAACTGTAAATTACGGCCCAAGAATTTGAATATATAGCAGGCTTCCCAAGTGTTTGATGTAATTGATGTGTAAACACACACTGCCAGATTTTGCTGTTTTTGTTAATTTCGTGAGCTGTATAACATATTGACCTTCATTCAGAGTCTCTGATTTGCTCAACAGATTAATAACAAGAAGTCTACCTGAAGTCTTAAGGCAAAAGAAAAAAAAAAAGTTGCCCAGTTTGCCAGAGGCCTTATTTCTTCGGTTGGTTCTTTTCTTCCTTCTAGGCAATAATATTGCACTAACAAAAGTAGGTGCGTTATTTTAATTTTAAAATAACTCTTATTTTCTACCACATACTCCTCTCCAAAAAAGTGGTAGAAAAGAGAAGACTTCTGGGCAGAGAAATAGAAGGCCTTGCAAAACGTAGTAGTCGAACCCTGCAGCTGGCTCACTGCACAAGTGCCACAGTCATGCAAAAAACTGTTACGCAGCTTTCGTAGATGAATTTTATACAGTTCGTATTGTCGCTAAAGATTCAAATACTAAGAACACTTTAAATCTTGGACATAATTCTAACTCAGAAGCATTGTTGTTGTTTGATGAAATACCATGTAAGTCAGTCATTTTAAGACATTTCTGAAAGAAGTTTCTTTGCTATGGTTGTGATAAAAAAAAAAAATAAATAAATAAATAAATTAATTAATTAAAAAAAAAAAAAAGAAGTTTCTTTGTAGGCCAACAGTATACCAAATATATTACCTTTCTTGTTGCTTTGCTGTCTCATGGGAGTCCCTCTTCCTACCACTCACATCAGGCTTTTTTCATTTTCTTTTCTGTGCTGGTGGACCTGGCCCCAGGAGTGGAGGAAAGAGGGAGTGGAGCAGCTGTGGCTCAGCACGATAGACATGACAGGAGTCCCCACCCTGTCCAACCTCCAGAAAGGAGTCCAGTTTGCTCTCAAGTACCAGTCGCTAGGCCAGTCTGTCTACGTGCACTGTAAGGCCGGGCGTTCCAGGAGCGCCACCATGGTGGCCGCGTATCTGATTCAGGTAGGAAGGGGCTTTCTGGACTGCCCGCCCCCCCCCCCCCTGCCCTTGTTGCTAAAAGCAATCTGATTTTTATTTTATTTATTATTTTTAAATTTTTATCTTGTGGTTGCACTGGGTCCTTGCTGCTGCCTGCAGGCTTTCTCTAGTTGCTGTGAGCGGGGACTGCTCCTCATTGAGGTGCACACGTTTCTCACTGTGGCGGCTTCTTTCTTATTGCAGAGTGCAGGCGCTGTGCCCTGTAGGCTGTGCTTGGGCTGCACAGCTGGCGCTAGTGGTAAAGAACCCAGCTGCCAAAGCTGGAGACATTAAGAGACCTGGGTTTGATCCCTGGGTCGGGAAGATCCCATGGAGAACGGAATGGCAACCCACTCCAGTATTCTTGCCTGGAGAACCCCATGGTCTGACCCCAGGTCAGAGGAGCCTGGTGCGCTACAGTCCATGGGGTCGCAAAGAGTCAGACAAGACTGAAGCAACTTAGCATGCATGCACAGGCACTAGGGCTCCTGGGCTCTAGAGCGCAGGCTCAGTAGTTATGGCTCTTGGGCTTAGTTGCTCTGCATCACGTGGAATCTTCCCGAACGAGGGATCAAACCCATGTCCCCAGCACTGTCAGGTGGATTCTTAACCACTGTACCACCAAGGAAGTCCCTCTTTTTACTCTGATTTTGGCTGTGCTGGGTCTGCATTGTAGCTCGTGAGCTTCTCTTGTTGTGGGGTAGGATCCTAGTTCCCCAACTGAGAGTGTGTCCACGCTGCCTACATTGGAAGGTGGATTCTTTGCCACCGGGCCACCAGGGAGTGGACTGGTCCCCTGTACAGCAGATCTCCAATCTCCTGATGGACCTGGCTAGAAGGAGCTGCGTTCCCAATTTTAGGCCGTTGGGAGGTGGAAAACACCTGAAATTTGCTGACAGGCTGACCTCTGGTTTTGCCACCTGCCACCTGGGTGACCTTAGGCAAAAGTGGGTTACCCTCTCCAATGCTCAATTTCCTCAAACTAAATGTGTTACAAAACTCAAATAAGAACTATGTCAAACACTGACCTAGAGCAGGCACTCAAAAAATGGAATTGCCAAGGATGTTAATACAAGCAAAAGGCTAGAAACATTTGTTATAAATGGCATGTCAGGAAATATAGTGCTGTAGATAACAGTGCTGATCATAGCTCTAGAAACAGTGGCTCCAACAGAATTTTGCCTATCAATTTGTTAGGATTGGCGGCAGGGATGCTTTTAAAGATAAATGGCCTGGCCTTGTGTTACTGTGGCCTGGTGAATATATGATTTAACAATACTAAAGTTTTGGTCATTAGGAGTCTGTTTTGCTGGAAACTGGGGTGTCAGGAGATATTTTGGGCCAAGTGGGAATTGAACCAGCAGACTAAAAACCGACTTTCTTGGTTGAGTTCTAAACAAATAAGCATCTTGAGGGCATGAAGATAGCTCTCCTCGTCAAATTTTAAAAGTACTTAAAAAAAATAAATAAAAATAAAGTACTTTTTTCTAGCCATGGTGACAAGTTATGACATCAGTTGTGTACTCTTCCCAGGAAACTCTTGTAACCAACAGCCTAGCTCAGAGAGGGTATCTGGTAGGCCTAGGCCTGTGTGAATTTATGACCTCAGCTTCCTGTGTTCAACCTATTTCCAGGGTTTGGCAGAATAAGAATTAGGTAGAAAGACTGACTTGCGTCCCCCTCAACCCACCAGCCTGCTGCACAGAATTATGGGACTGGCTGACTGAGGGGGCTAAAGTGTTCTCCCACTTAGAATATGTGGGTCATGGTTTTTGTTGTTGTTTTTTTTAAAGAAATACTGAGAGCCCTTAAGCACCGGTTATCAGGTCAAGGACCCCTTAATACCTGCTCCTTCCTTTCTCCGACTTCCCAACCCTGCCCTTCAGGTGTACCACTGGACTCCAGAGGAGGCCATAAGAGCCATCACCAAGATCCGGTCCCACATCTACATCAGACCTGGCCAGCTGGAAGTTCTCAAAGAGTTCCACAAGGTGACCACTGCAGGGGTGGCCAAAAACGAGACTCATCACACGTCACTGACATGACGCACGTGGGTTAGGAAGAACGCAAAACAACGCTGCTTCCTACAGAATGAGAATGTTTAACAGGACCAAAGGGGCTGAAGCCCAGACTTGACATATAGAAATGTGCTAAGTGATGGTTAGTTTTGCTCCCTTTGTCTTGTTTCATTTTCCTGAAATAACACTGTTGTGTGGCTAGATTTAGTGTGGCTTCTATTCATGGGGCATGGGGAAATGGGATCGGGCTGAGGGCTTATAAGATCAAAGAAACCTGTTATGCACCTGATGTTGTACCTAATATTTAGCCCCGTAACTCAAAGACGTTGAACACTAGGAGAAGGGGAGAGAAATATCCAGCCCCGGTTCTTCCCCACTGTTGAAATCCTAATCCACTGGCCTTACGTGGCTGTCCTCGTGTTTGGAGCAGTCATCCTGTCTGTAGCCAAGGACGTGTGGGATTCGATCAGTACTGCGACTTAGAGATGTGTGAGTATGTAGTCAGTCCCCCTGAGGAAGTCATCCCTTTAGAATTCAACACACACACATATCCCTTCAAAAACTTTTATTTGTATGAACAGTTCCTAGCTCTTGATTTATCTTAGAGCTTTTAGAAGAGTAGAGACCTTATATATTTGAGTTTGAAAAAAGTTTCTGCTATTAACCAGAAATAATCTTTTCTACTTCTTTCTGGCTTACTCATTGGAATAAGCCAAAAATAAAACCAAAGTGTAAATTTTCTGATGGAGAGATGAAAAACAATAGACGGCACATCCTGAATTCTAGGGTAGACTCTTGCTGGTGAAGGACACCTTCAGTTTAGTCCATTTTTTCCAAGCAACACCTGAAGGAGAACTCTTAACACCTAATTCTTTGTGGGAGAATGACCAACGAGCCATTTTGCAGGCTACAGAAAAAAAGGGAGGCTGGGCATCTTTCCTTCTGTCCTGGGATCAGGGGTGCTCCTATTTAACATTCATTAGGTAGAGAGGGGAGGCTGTGCCTAGGGGTGGAGAAGAGGCTGGCTCTAAGGGATCTGTAGTGAGCGAGGCTCAAGATTACAAGGGGATGGCGAGCAGGCTGGATGACTCTCAGTTCTAGCAGCCAGCTGAGCAGCAGCAGTCTAAAAAGCCCGACAGACACTCATTTAGGAGTTCAAGGAAGGGCTGAGGCTGCCTTTCTAACATGTATCAAAAAGTAACATAATACCCGAGTGGGGGGGCCTCTGGGGATTTTGAGTTTGGATGGGGAGGTGCAGGAGGGAGGGAAGGCAAATGCCAGCTGCTCCTGCCCCAACAGCCTTAGGCCAACACGAACTGCAAATTGGTCAGCAGCACCTTAATGCCTCTGGTGACAGTTACAGCCGAGGTGGCAGGGTCAAGCTTGTAGGTGTTGGCATCCCCCTTTTTATACCGGTCCCTGAACACATAGATGCTCCCGTTACAGCTGGCGATCTTCCAGAGGGATGGGGCAGAGGTCCAGGCCTCGGGAAGGCAAAGCCGGGTGAAGCTGTCTAGCAGGGGATTGTAGCACACCAGGGAGTCCCCTTCGGCCACGATGAACACCAGGTCCTTATGCACGGCCGCGTGCATGTGGCCCGCGAAGGGCAGCACATAGGGCTTCACGTGGCACTTTTCTGTCTCTGTGTCAAAGCACTGGATGAGTCGGGATGGTTTGGTAAAGAAGTCCAGGTCATTCTCCTCCCCCCCCAGTAAGTAGATGATCCCGTTGAGGTTGGCACCAGCGGCCCCTGACACAGCCACCTCTAGCTGGGTTGTCTCAGTCCAGACGTTATCACCCACCCGATAATAGATTACTGCATTGGAGAGGGTATCCTGCAGTGTCTTGCCACCCAGGGAATATATGGCATCTTTCCCAGGCACAGACACCAGGGTGTGCTGGAGTCGGTCTCGGGGCAGAGGCGCACACCACTCCCAGTCCACGGTGGCATTGTTGCACTTCCACATGCGCCGGGGGATGGACCCTCCCACCACGTACAAGTCTCCGCCATGCTTGCAAGCTGCTGTGATCTGGTGGCACAAGCTGTTTTGGCCACTTACACTGATGGAGTCATCTTCCGCACAGTGTAAGGACACAGCCAACGAGTGGGTACGAGATGATTCTTTCCCGATCAGGTAAATGTGTACATTCTCCCCAATTTCCTATTGGCGAAATTAAAGTTATAAATGGTATCTACCAGCTCGAGGCTAAAGGCGCAGCTGAGACGCGTACTCGGATGGTCCCAGGCCACACCCTCGGGTCTCGCTCTGACCTGTTCCCTTCCAGTTACTGTGGTGTGTCACCCTGACTCTCCTCTGATCACTGTCTTTCAGGCACCTTCTGTTGGGACAGAAAACCTGTTACACTCACCTTTCCAGCTTTTTTTATAACTATGATGAGTTGGTGCTTTGGTCATTAATGCAATGATGAAAGGAGTTCTCTCAAGGAGCTTTGGAGCCCGGAGGTTGCTGGCTTCTAGGCTCACATATGTAATCTCCACCCCAGCTCTTATCAACTTTAAGCCAGAGACTCAAAGAGGCCAAGGTGATAGACAGCTGGAATGCCGGGATAGTATGGTGTCCCAACCCTAAAGAAATCTGCCTTACCTTCAAGCTAGTCCTGAGTGACTCTGAAAAAGCCTCTCTTTCTTCTTTATTAAAATTGATCCAGGCTTCTATGGCCTCTGTTGGGTTCTGGGAACATGGAACTCCATCTACAAGAGTCAGAGGAAAGGTATGGTCAATGGCAGTCTGAGGATCCACAAGGGAAATTTAAAGCCAGTGGCTTTAAAAATGTGAATCTCTTTGCTAGACTATCACCATGTATGTATGTATGTGTGTGTATGAAAAATTAACCTAAAATTGCCCTGCTTTTTTTCTTAATCAAAATGGATGACTTGATATTCTCCTATTTGCCATGGAAGCAATCTACTAGGCTACAATGCTCACACTTGAAGTACAGTTATACCTCACCTGCAGGGTTAGGATTGTTACCTAAAAGTTGGCCAGTCACTTGAGAAGCTTCTTATTTAGGTGTCTGACTCTTTGCAACCCTATGGACTGTAGCCCGCCAGGCTCCTCTGTCCATGGGATTTTCCAGGCAAGAATACTGGAATGGGTTGCCATTTCATACTTCAGGGGATCTTCCCAACCCATGGATCAAATCAATGTCTCTTCTGTCTCCTGCCTTGGTAGGTGGGTTTTTTTTTAACCACTGTGCCACCTGAGAAGCCCCTATCTTTTTTTTTTCCATTTATTTTTATTAGTTGGAGGCTAATTACTTTACATCATTGCAGTGGTTTTTGTCATACATTGAAATGAATTAGCCATGGATTTACATGTATTCCCCATCCCGGTCCCTCCTCCCACCTCCCTCTCCACCCGATTCCTCTGGGTCTTCCCAGTGCACCAGGCCCGAGCACTTGTCTCATGCACCCAACCTGGGCTGGTGATCTGTTTCACCCTAGATAATATACATGTTTCGATGCTGCCCCTAACTATCTTGACTCACTGTCAATTTACTCAGGTAACCAGTCCCACAAATACATGCAAAGTATAGAATGGATAAGAACACTAATGCACAAGAGAGGTTAGAATATAAATGCAGGTAGCTCCTCACTACCTTTTGTGGCTAAGTGCAGACTTTTTTTTTTTTAATTAGATATTTGAATATAATGTAAAAATGCTGCTTTAGTTTCCTAATCTCTTCCTCTGGAAGGGACTCTGTCTCTAACATGAACTACTAAATGTCAACTCAATCTCTCTCAGAAGGTATCTAAGTAAATTCTTATCAAGAATAATAATGTAAACTAACGCCAGGAGCCTGAGGGTCCCTTGTCTCACTGAACACACGTGCGGCTGGGTATGACGTCCCCCCTCCCTCTGCTTACCGGAGATGATGTCAGTGAGTAGGTGGTGCGGCAAGTGAAGAAATTCCTCTGTGCTCTGCAGCTGGGCCAGGTGGGCCTTGGCACAGTGCTTGGCAGCGGTGTACAGCTCAGGATCGCTGTGTCGATCCGCCAGCCACATCACCTGAAGGCAGTTGCCCACCTGCACTGTGCGGGCCAGAAACCGAGAACATTCCTCAAAGAGAGATGTCAGTTGATACATGTCTGACACCTCATAAATCTCCTGCAGCTCCTCAGCTCGGAGCTTCACCGTGCCGTGGTAGATATAATCCACCAGGAGCTGGAAGACAGACTCGCTGACATCCTGCAGCACAATCACCCGGTTGTGGGCCTCCTTCAGGTTGGAAGTGAACATGGACCGGAAGAAGCAGCTCTGAGCCGAGAGGACCAATCGGTGGAGCTGAAACTCCCGGCCTTCCACGGAGATGGTGACATCAGCAAAGAGCTCTTCCTCCAAACACAGTTTCATGATGCCCTGAGCCACACGGCCGGAGTGTGACCTATCTTTGAAAGTGTAGTTCACAAAGTAGTTCTCGTCCATGGATGCTCCAGGTTCCTCTGGTGATTCCATGGTGGCAGCCAACTTCTCTCTCTGCCAGCTGTCTGTAAAAGAACACCACCTTGAGTAACTTAAGGAAGCCACGGTCTATGAATCTAACTATCCAATTCAGGGAGAGAGAAGGGAAAAGTGAGGAGGGCATGGTCGGCCCAGATTAGCCTTAGTCCTGGCCCTGCTAATGACAACTCTGATGATCTCCCTGAACCAAAGCTGGGCTCATTCTCTCACAGTGACATCACATACCTAATAAAATCAAGATTTCCTACGCCAGGTTATTTCCCTGAGAAAACACGGAAAACTCCTTTTCCATGATGTAACAAAAGGCTTGGTATTTAGGTCAACATAGAGATCAAAGGACTGGAGGAGGCCTGTGACTTTAAAAAGCCCAACCAAATAACCCCTGGACGTAAAACTTGTGAGGTTCCGGGCAGCAGAATCCGACAAGACGACCCCTAACGTCCTTGTAGCCAGGTTCCTCTTCCCTGGCGCAGGGAATCCAGACCTTACAATATGCGATTCAGCCTGGGACATCTCTCAGCTCCCCATCTGCTCTTTTCTGAGCCTCTCCCTGGCACTTCCCTGCTCGCCCTAATGACTCCCCAAAGCTTCGTCCCAGAACGCGAGACGGAGCACGGTCGGTCTCCGGCAAGGGGCCAGACAGAGGCGGCCCATCGCCACGTGCAGTGTCCCCGCTCCACCTGGAGTCGCCCGGGAAACGGTCGCCAGGGAAACCGTCCTTCTCTTCCCCTCCCCCTAGCCTGGCCCGCCGGCCCTCAGCAAAAGCTTAGCTCAGGGAGCGAGGGAGGGGTGTGGAATGTGGAACCCAGACCTCTCGTCCCTTCTTCTCCTCTCATCCGACTGGTTCTTTAGGATCCTTGCCTTCTCTCCAGCCTCTGTCACACCAAGCTAGGGTCACATTCTCCTCACGGTCTCCCCACCTGCGGGCTTCGCTTTCTCACCTGCCTTCCCTCCTTTCATTCCGAAGCCCGGGACCCGGAACCTCTGCTTCTGGCCCTGCGTCCGCCCGGAAGAAGGTCTGGTGCACACTTCCGCTTCCGGTCCGTGCCCTTGGGGGCTCCGTGTCCTAGGGGCCTGGCCTCGGCTGCCTGGTGTACACCCGGGAAATATGGCGGCGGCGGCGGCTCGGGGCTGTTGGCAGAGGCTCGTGGGGTCCGCGGCGCTGGCCAGAGGTGACCAATGGGCAGCTGGCTGAAGCCCGGGGCGGGAGCGGCGACGCGCCCAGCGCAGGGAGTCCCTGAGACCTCATCCTGCGCTTCGGTGTCTCTGTCTTCCCATGCAGTGGCCGGGAGACCCTCGGTGCTGTTGTTACCGGTGAGGCGGGAAAGCGCTGCGGCCGACACGCGCCGTGAGTATGTGCGAGCCCGGCCCTTCTCGGGACTGCAGGCGGGGCCGCACTCATTCCCTTTGTCAGATGTTTGCCCTTGTCCTGGCCTGTCCTCCTCTGCGTCCTCCCGGCAAGCCTCTGCTTGTCCTTGGAGAGCTGACTGCAAGGGTCCTCCTTGTGTGACACCCTTGTCTCTTGGGGCCTGTTAGGCCCTGTTGCCTCTTGTCCATTTCTGTCTCTCTGTCTCTGATTAAACTGTAAGCTCTTTAAAGTGAGAAGCATAAACTCTGGGCCTCTGAGCCCTATTATAATAGTAGCTCACGTTAATTGAGTGCTTATTGTATGCACGTCACTTTGCTAAGCGATTAATGAATGATCATAGTTCTCACAACAGTTTTAGGAGGCAGATAGTATTATGCTCTTCTACAGTAGAGTAGGAAACAGTTCAGAGAGGTTGACCAGGATCACAGCACTAGTAAGTGATAAAGCAGGCCTGCCTGCTGCCAAAGGCGGAGAAGAAAATTACTCTGCAGCCTACGATTTGTAGTTGCTCTTGTGATTCAGTGTTGCACGAATGAGTGTATGGAGATAAGTTCTAGTCAACATAAGCCAACCGGGAGTCAGGAGACCTGACATTTCCCCCTTGCTGGGCCTCGGTTTCCTGGTCTGTGCCAAAAAAAAAAAAAGTTTCAACTATATAATCTGTGAGGACTCTTCAGCCCTGAAGTTCTTAGTGAGAACTTGCTATGAGCCAGATGTTAAGGAGATACAGAGAATCATAAACATTCTAGTTCTCACACTTAAAGAGCTCCTGGTATGGTAAGAGAACTGAGACCTATGCTGCTTTAGCAGAATTGCAGGCATTGAAGAGGAAGAACCAAAAAAAAAAGAAAGAAAAGGAAGTGGAGAAGGAAATGGCAACCCACTCCAGTATTCTTGCCTGGAAAAGTCCATGGACAGAGGAGCCTGGCATGCTGCAGTCTATGGGGTTACATGACTGAGCATGTGTGCACAAGGGTGGAGGGAGATGGGCTGGTAGCAATAAACTGGTAGAACTTTAAAAAAAAGAAAGAAAAGGAAGAACCATGGAGTAGTTTTGAGAAGAAGCAAACACCCCAGCTGCAGTAATAGGTGAGTCTCTGGATCGTGTAGGTAGCATTTTCCCAACGTTTTCATCACTTCCTGTTACGTGGAAGAGGAACTTTCTATCTTCACCTTTCTCAGGGTTCTACAGGGAGTCCTGATTGGGGAACAGCATGCCTCACAAGCTCAAGAGACTAAGCAGGGCTCAGTCTGCAGGGCTGACTGCTGCCTTCTACTTTCCTTTTCAAAATATGCCTTCTCCTTTCAGCCACTGTCAGACCGAGGAATGATGTGGCCCACAAGCAGCTCTCAGCTTTTGGAGAATATGTGGCTGAAATCCTGCCCAAGTATGTCCAGCAAGTTCAGGTAATATTCACTACTGGTGTTTGGATTCGGATCAAGAAAGAGCCATGTTCTCAGGGCATGTGGGAGTGGGCGGCCTGGAATCAAAGCACAGACTCCTCCATCCCAACTTGGCCTTCTTTCTCTGCCTTAAACCAGGAGATTCCAGCTGAAGTTGCCTGCTCCGTCTGTAGCTTTGTTCCCTCTCCCCTCCTGTTCTGTGTTGGCAGGTGTCCTGCTTCAATGAGTTAGAGATCTGTATCCATCCTGATGGGGTCATCCCAGTGCTGACCTTCCTCAGGGATCACAGCAACGCACAGTTCAGATCCTTGGCTGACCTGACGGCGGTGGACGTCCCCACCCGGCAGAATCGTTTTGAGGTCAGTCAGGAGATTTGAGGTTCGGAGTGTGAAGGAGGGAAAGGGGACAGAACGGTTTCAGGGTGACAGCTGCCTCTGGGAGCCGTAGCCGCCTTAGTTTCAGTTCAGGTCAAACGAATACAACGCAGCAGTTAAGGCGGGGTCTCTGAATCAGGCAGACCTTGAGTTTCAGTTGTAGCTTTGCCATTAATAAGCGGTGTGACTTCAAACATTTTGTTTGGTCTTTCTGAGCTTTAGTTTTTCTGATGTGCAGAATAAGTATTTTAAATAAGTGTGAAACCACGCTACCTCACGGGGTGGCTGTGAGTATTCATTGAGATGGTTCAGGTAGATTGCTAGTACACAGTGACGTCTCAGTACATTTGGCTGTTGTTACTTACTCGTCACCTACTTTTTTTGCCAGATCCTGGGATCGAGAGAAGTAACACCCAATACCTGCCCTCCAGAAGTGCCCCACACTCTAGTGAGGAAGGACACATAGAACAGTTTACTGTTGGAGAAGGAAACGGCACCCCACTCCAGTGTTCTTGCCTGGGAAATCCCATGACAGAGGAGCCTGGGGAGCTGCAGTCCATGGGATTGCAAGAGTCAGACACAACTTAGCAACTAAACCACCACCACAGAGTAGATGCAGTGACTGTTACAAGAGATTGGAAACAAGAGATTCAACATACTGATGTATTTTTTTAAAAGTTTACTGTAATAACATAATTCATGGGATGTTGTAAGAACACAGGAGGGGCACTTAGCCCAGTCTAGAAGCTTTTATGAAGGGAGAGAGAAAGTTTGTGCTGCCTCTTGATGGATAAGTAGGAGACCAGGTATTAGTCCCGTGGGGGGTGGGGTGGCGGGGAGGAGGAGCTGGGAGACATCCAGTAGTGTGAGCAAAGATAAGCATGCCGACAGGCTGAGCTGTAGTGTGGCTTAGGCATTTGCAAGTAGTTGTGAGTAGTGGAGCAGCTTGAGGTTTTGAGCTTCAGGACAGAAGGCAGGTTCACAGGGTGGAACTTTATCCCCTCATTATTATGGTCCCACTCAAGGACTTCTGTCCCAGACCCCTAAGCCTGTGGTCATCTTGGTCCTCCGGCTGCCTCCATTCTCCCTAGATTGTTTACAACCTGCTGTCTCTGCGCTTCAACTCGCGGATCCGTGTGAAGACCTATACGGATGAGCTAACGCCCATTGAGTCTTCTGTGTCTGTGTACAAGGCAGCTAACTGGTATGAGAGGGAGGTGAGTTACTGGACATGGTAGACCCTGCATCTGGGCCAGAGTTGCAAAACTGACTGGGTTCAGTGGATGCAGTGTAGCCCCTCACCCCTGTGATGGCCAGTTGCTTCCGTTTTCTAGATCTGGGACATGTTTGGAGTCTTCTTTGCTAACCATCCTGATCTAAGAAGAATCCTAACAGACTATGGCTTTGAGGGACATCCTTTCCGGAAAGACTTCCCCCTGTCTGGCTATGTTGAGGTAGGAGTCTTGGAAGTAGGCAGCGGGCTTGAGAGGGAGGGACTGGTAGGGACGTTGGGCAGGAATTATGGCCAGTGGATTGTGGTGGCTTAAGAGCATCAATACTGTATTCTATCCAAGCTCCACTCTGACACAGTTTTCTTATCTGCAAAATGGGAACAAGAGTAGTACTTAACAATAGTAGATTTGCAGTAAACTAATTGGTGTATGTTTAAAACTGGTGTATTGTAAATGCTCAACTGCCGTCACCCCTTATTTTAATGGTCATTTTAATGACCGAGGCAGATTTGAGGACAGTTTGTCACCAAGATCTGAAAGTGGAATATCTTTTTACCCTGCTCTGGATCTCTTGAGAAGGCAAGGCACTAAATGTCCAGCCCTTGAATTTCAATGCTTTACTCACCACTGCTATTAACCATTGGAGGTTATTAGCAGGAGGTTATTAGCAAGAAGGTGATTTATTGTATATATACATAGATGGTTTTGTAGCAAAGTAACTTTTTAGAAATGTTGAGATAGTGGCAATCGAGCCCTTTCTCTGTAGTATCCAGATGCTTCTGTTTTCTTAATATTTAGCATGGTCCCATTTGCAGCAGCTGATTGTCCTCACCTTATCCAATGGATTTCCCAGTAACAACAAAAGCCATGCCAAGTTTACTGCCTTGCATCTTGACAGTGATAATGCCGAGGCCACAGGGCCTAAACTTGAGTGCTTGTCAGCTTATTCTTTTCAGCCACTGACTTGCTCCCTCATCCTGGTTAAATGCTTACCATCAACTTAAAGGGTGTGTGGAGGGAATTCCCTGGCAGTCCAGTGGCTAGGATTCCATGCTTTCACTGCCATGGGCCTGGGTTCGATCCCTGGTCGGAGAACGAAGGTCCCACCAAAAGGTGTATGTGGGTAGGTGGGCAAGGTCTCTTCTGGTGGAAGAGGAGCTCAGAGCGCAGGATGTGGGGGTGATGGCAGAGTTTGAGGTAGAGGCCATGTGAGACGGTGGTTGGGTTGCGACCTGGTGGGTAACGCAGATGAGGCTGGAGCCTTAAAAGAGGCTGGGACAGGGGTCAAGGACAGAGGAGTAAAGGGCCTGCAGGAGGCTTTGGGGAAGTGCGCCTTCCGCGGCTGTAACAGGCGTTCCTCAATGCTCAAGCCTGCCTTTTTCTTCTCCAGTTACGCTATGACGATGAGGTGAAGCGGGTGGTGGCCGAGCCGGTGGAGTTGGCTCAGGAGTTCCGCAAGTTTGATCTGAACAGCCCGTGGGAGACTTTCCCTGCCTATCGCCAGCCCCCTGAGAGTCTCAAGCTTGAAGCCGGAGACAAGAAACCTGAAACCAAGTAGTTTCAGGGCAAGCATGTGTATCCTAGAAAGCACCTGATCTGTAATTGAGTGTCCCTGTAAATAAAATCCTACTAGACTCACCACTTTCTGCGTGCTTCCCATAAGTAGAAGTGAAGCTTGGACTCAGGAGGAGGGAGGTGCAGGCAAGGGGTTTTGCTGACCCCCTGAGAGAGACTTCCAAGCCGGGAATCTGGAAGCTAAATACTGCAGTTGCAGACAGGGTGACATGCACGCCTGGATATACTTCTGAGAGATCCTGGAACTGAAATGAAAGTTCTCACAGTTCACAGGGCTTAGGATGGGTGTGGCATGCCTCTCCTGAGAACTGGAGGACTCTCGGCCACTGCTGGAGAAAGCCCCTTGTCATAGCAGACTGTCTGGTGGCAGCTGATGGGTCCAGGGGCCTGTGAAAATAGGGCAACTCCCACCTACCCTCATCCTATTCAAACCACCACAAGGTTCCAAGAGCCGACAGAAACACGACAAGCTGCAGCCCATTTTGAACCTTGTGTCCTGCAAGCTGACCACCTCGTGCCTGGGCTAAGGGAATCTTCCTGGACTCTGGTCTGAGCTGAGAATGTAAACAAGCAAAGGAGGGTCCCAGTCTGGGGCCAAAGACAATGAGGAGCTGCCGATCTGTCGCCAGGAAACAGTACTCCCCGTTCCAGCCAGTCCGGGGTCTGCTCAGCCCGTGGCTGAGTGCCTGAGGGGGAAGAGTTCTCTGCCTGTCCAGGGGCCACTCAGCCAGCCCACCAGGCAGCTGGAAGATCAGGCTTTGCGGCTGTTGTTCTTGGCTACTGATGGGCTTCCTGGAGGCTGGGCCAGGCTGGACTGGACTGAGTGTCAGAGGCTAGACTCAGTTGCAGAGTGTTTTGGGGGTGAGGACAGATAGTAAGGTAGTCTTACTGCCTGGGGTCTCACCTATCTCTTTGGGAGGGCTAAGCCTGAGCTGTTTGCTACCAAGTGCCTTTTTCCTATTAACTAAGCATCCGCCCATCTGGGCAGGAATAGGCTTAGGGCCTGACAAGCTGGGAGCCAGGCTCCTACTGCCAACAACCATTCCACATTTCTCTGGGATGGAAAGAGCCCCTAGGAAGCCAGAGCCAGCCCCTCCCTGTTGAGCTCTGAAGACCGACACGCAAGGCAGGGAGCAGCTGGAGCAGTCCGCAGTGGAAAGTTGGAGCCCCAGTGTGTGCCAGGCGGATGGAGGTGCAGAGAGACGCTGGGGAGAATAAGACTCGGAGGACCTGGTGGGGCATGGCCGGGACAATGAAGTTCCTGGCTTGGCTGACGGTAGCCATTTGCCTCCTCCCTGGGGTGACTACAACCTACCACCATGCAGGTACCCGGGCCTTGGGGTGGGGTGGATGGGAGCTAAGGAAGGCTGCTGGCTGACAGCAGTCACACTTGGTCCTATCTAAGCCCAGCAGGGCTTAGGAACTGTGGGTGTGATAGCTGCCAGGCTGACCTGTGCTGTGGAGTGGGGGACGGAATTGTGTGGGCCTCCCTCAGAACCAGAAAGGTCCAGGTGAAGTAAGGGTGGTTCGCCCTAGGTGCTCTCAACAGGCCTTGGGCTTATTCCGGCTGATGTGCAAAGCACGACCTCCTAACCTGCCCAGGGCTTAGGACAGACATTCCAAGGGTTAGGCAGCACCCCAGAGAGATGGAGCCGCAGCAGACACCCTGCTTTGCCTAGCCTCCTGTCTTGCACACAGTCACTTACTGAGGAGTGGGAAAGGACTAGGTCCTTCTCAAAGGGGTCCTCACCTTTGCGGAGGGTCACTGGCACCGTTTCAGGTCACGCTGTCCCCCAGATGATGATAGGGAGGGGTAAGGGGAAGTGAAGTGTCTTGTGACTCGTTGGCCTGGAGCTCTTGGCCAGGAGAACTGTAGAAGTTCAAGGAGGAGTCCTGGACATTTGCCGAGATGGTATTGGGGTTTGGGATGATGTCTGGGAGAGTGACTGTCACTGTGTGTGTGTGTAGGGGGAGGTGGACATGGGGTGGCATTCCTGTTTTTTGCAGACAGAGGAACTTCTGGGCACCCCTACCAGGCAGCTCAGGGCCACTCTGGGGATGCTAGGGTGTTCAGGGTGGAGCCTGGCAACGCCCTGACTCCTCTCTGCTGCCCCAGGGCAACCCATGGACAGCACCCGCGTGGGAGGTGGCCTGAAGGAGCCAGAGGCCCCGGAAGTGATGTTCGAGGTCTTTCCTCCAGCCTGGGACATGGGGGTGGGAGTATCCAGAGGTCCCTGAGCGCAGGGTTGGGAAGGGGGATGCCTCAAGCTGGGGCTGCTGGGGGAGGGGGCAACCCAGCATGGGTCCCACTGCCTGCTTGTGGCCCCCAGCGCACTACTGCTCGCTGACCTGCTCCCTAGGCCCCAGCCCGCCCCTTACGTGGCTCCCCTTGCAGCTGCTCTGGGCGGGGCTGGAGCTGGATGTCATGGGGCAGCTGCACCTCCAGGACGAGGAACTGGCGTCCACACGTCCAGGCCGCCGGCTCAGGCTCCTCCTGCAGCACCAGGTGCCCAGGGACTTGGAGGGCGCTGAGCAGCGGCTGCAGCAGCTCCAGGACCTGCGGAAGGGACCTCCTCTTAGCCCTTGGGACTTTGAACATCTGCTCCTCACAGGCGTGTCCTGTGTCTACCGGCTCCGTGTGGCTAGCGAAGCCGAGGAGAGAGGCCGCTGGGCCCAGGTCTTCACTCTCCTGGCGCAGGAAACACTCTGGGACCTGTGCAAGGGCTTCTGCCCCCAGGGCCAGCCCCCTTCTCTGGGCCCCTGGGCCTCCATTGCTGACTCCTTCCCCTAACCCTCCCCTTTAGCCTGCCATCCCTCCTTCCCCCTCTCCCCCGCCCCCACCTGAGCCAGACCCACCTTTGGCAGGGGCTTCCATCTGGCACCTGGTTCCTCCCACTGTGTTTGGGTCTCTGGGCTTGGCTTGTACCCTGGACCCCAGCCTACCCCTCCCCCATCTTCTTCCTTGGGCCCAGGTTCTGGGTCCCGGACCCGCAGGCGCAGACCTAAGGGCAGGACTTGCAGGCAGTGTGTGTGTGCGTGCTGGGGTCAGGGTTGAGAAGTGTGTTTAAGAGATGCTGAAACGGAAGCTCCCAAGCAAGGCCAGGTCAGACCCTCCAGCTCCTACTCCGGCAGCCCGAGAGAGGCTGAATCCACAGGTAATTTCTAAGTGCCCAGGCTTATGTAGACACCTCTTTGAAACCCAACCGAGGCTCTGGGGGTCCCTAAGTTGCCCAAGTATCCCATCTGGGCTAGGAGAATAGACTGGACGTTTTTACAATCTGTTCAAACAATGGGGGGAAGAGGGTGCAGGAACATTATCTCTTGAGGGGCAGGGAAGTGAGAAATGTTTTTTTGGTCCATCTCAACAAGGCTCAGAGAACAGGGTGAGGCTGGGAGGAGACAGAGGCTGGCTGGAGTGGTCCTGACCCTGTGCAGTTCGTCCTATAAAATGTTCTGTTCTGGCCTCCTGGAGCCCTGTGTCGTGTGTCAGAGAAGTTTGTTAACCCCGACTCTGAGCAACCCCCCTCCCCATCCTGGGAAGGCAGGAATCAGGGCAACCAGATACCAGCTGCTCTTCCCGTTTGCCACGCCCGTACCGGGAGCCAGAATGTACCATCTCCTTGAATCCCATGTTCCCAGCGAGGCCGCGGGGTGTTGTCCCTTGTCCCAGAAAAGGAACCGGATGGGCCTTAAAAGTCACGCCGGAGTTCGACGGGAATGGAGTACAGGGACCGAGCGGAAAAGGACATGAAGGGGAGACCCACGCGGAGTTACCAAGCAGAGTCCAATCGAATATCACCTCCTCGCTCACCCAGGGAGAATCCTGACCTTTGCCTGCCGACCCCCCCACCGGGGTGGTCCCTCTTTTCCCGCCCCGCCCGAAGACAACAGCGTCGTCGCAGTGAGGACAAAGCAAAGCGCAGGACCCCGGCAGACAGGCGCCGGCGCAGGCCCACTTTATTGGCAGAGTCCGCCACGCGCGGCGGGCCGTCATGCTCGCGCCGGCGGGGCGTTCGGGCCGCGGGTCCGGGCTCAGCATGCATGCCCCCCACCCCACCCCACCCCACCCCACCCCAAGCTGCTCTCCGGGCCGGGGTTCAGAGCTCGGGCGGCCCAAGGCCCGGCGGGCCAGCGGGCGGGAGGTCGGGATACACCAGGAAGCCGGAGAAGGTGATGTACTTGCCGTGGTTGCTGTAGGCGCCGTAGCCGTCGCGGTCGTGGCTGAGCAGCCAGACGGCGTCGCCGCGCCGCAGCGCCAGCATCACGCTCTGGCTCTGCATCTCGCGGCGCCGCGACGCGCCGTCGTCGTAGATCATGGCCTGCACCTCGTCGCGGTTCTTCATCAGCTTCACCGACAGCGTCTTGCGCGGCAGCTTGCCCAGCGTGAAGGAGAAGAAGTAGGCGCCGGGCAGGCGGCAGCGGAACACGCCGGCCGCCGCGTCGAAGTCGCCGCCGATGTTGACCAGCTCGGTGTCGAAGGCCAGCGGCCGGTGGCGCGGCCCGGGGCCCGCGTCCGAGCCCAGCAGGCTGCGCGTGCGCGCCGCCGAGAAGGCTGAGCGCGGCTCCGCGGACGCGGGCGGCCCCCCGCGCGCGGGCGCGTCGGCGTCGGCGTACACCAGGTAGCCGCTGAAGGTGGCGCCGGGCGCGCCCAGCGCGTACCGCGGGGCGCCGTGCAGCCGCAGCCACACCGCGTCGCCGTAGTCGAGCTGCAGCATGGCGCTCTGGCTGGCGGCGCGGCGCGCGCCCGGCCGCCGCTGCTCGTCGAAGGCCAGCGCCTGCACCTCGTCGCGGTTGCGCACTAGCATCACGGACAGGCTCTTGTGCGGCGCCTTGCCCGCCGTGAAGGAGAAGAAGTAGGCGCCCGGCACGCGGCAGCGGAACTGGCCGGTGGCCGGGTCGAAGTCGCCCCCGACGTTCACGTACACCTTGTCGAAGGTCACCGCCATCTCCGACGTGCCCTCCAGCGGGGTGGTGCGCGCCGCCGAGAAGGCCGAGCGCAGCTCCGCGGACCGCGAGGCCGGGCCCGGGGCCCCGCAGGCCGCCGGGCTCAGTAGGCCCGGCAGCAGCAGCAGCAGCAGCATGGCACCTGGGACGGGAGGCACGAGGGGGACGGAGACGAGGGTTGTGGAGGGGTGGCAGGGGGCCGGGTCCCCCTGCACAGCCCTGCCTTGATCCACAACTCGGACTCCTGGTTTCCTGCACAGCGAGACTGGCTCAGAGGTTCTCACAACTGAAGTAGGCCTGGGTGTCACCTAGAGGGCCTGTTAAAACACACACTGTGGGCCCGCAACCCCGCCTCGCCTGCGATGTGCTGTGCTTAGTCATTCGGTCGTGTCCGACTCTCTGTGACCCGTGAACAGTAGCCCACCCGGCTCCTCTGTTCATGGGATTCTCCAGGCAAGGATACTGGAGTGGGTTGCCATTTCCTTCTCCACTCGTCTAGGATGAGGTCTGAGAATTTCCATTCCATTCACAGATTCCCAGGTAATGCAGAGATGCTGCTCGTCCAGGGACCACAGTTTGGGAACAATTAGATTAGATCAGTGACTTCTTTTTTTTTTGTAACCACCAAACCCCTTTGTGTGAAATTTCGCAGATACAAGTGGAAATGCTCTGGCTCAAGGGTCCTATAGCCCTGCTGGGTTTGCCACATCCCCTCCTCCTTGACAGCCAGGAGCCCTGGAAACACAGAAGGTGGTCAGGAGGTCTCAGGGTTATCTTCAGCTTTCGATTGGCTACATTTTCCTGGTCTGTTCCATGGCCGGTAGCCTGACCTCACTCAGGCACTGGCTGTCTGTACTGACACCTTCCTTGATGGCTGCTGTTTAATTCCCCATCTTGGCAGGAAATAGCTGCTCCCTGAGCTGACTCACTGGAAAAGACCCTGATGCTGGGAAAGATTGAAGGCGGAAGGAGAAGGGGACGACAGAGGATGAGATGGTTGGATGGCATCACCGACTCAATGGACATGAGTTTGAGTAAGCTCCGAGAATTGGTGATGGACAGGGAAGCCTGGCGTGCTGCAGTCCATGGGGTCGCAAAGAGTAAGACATGACTGAGCGACTGAACTGAATTGACCCGTTTCCTGGCCTCTGACCCAGTCAAGGGTCAGCTCCCACAGTGGACCTCTGGAATCACCAGGGGCCCTTCTTGTCTTCTTCTGACCACCTTGAAGAGGTCAGAACAGTTGGGTTTTGAGGTAGTTCCCTCCCCCCACAAACTCAGAGAAGAGAAAGGGACTCAAGGGCTTGGGGGTTGCTCCCTGAGGGGAAAAGAGAGAGCCAGGGGCTGCTGGGGATACAGTGGGAGAGCGGTTCCAGTGGGCTTCGGCAGGTCTGTGAAGTCAGCAGCTCGCTTCCTCAGTCGGAGCGGCCGGGTGGACAAGACTGGCAGCTAAACCTGGGCCCATGTTCTGGTGCTACTCCTCTACATGCTGTGAACCCTTGGGCAGGTTCCTGAATGTCTCTGGGCACGGCCCCTTCTGTATAAACAGGGGAGGATGTCTGCCTAACAGGCTTACTGAGGATGCTCTGAGATAGCAGGTGTGAGTACCTCTGCGGGATGGCAGTGCAGTCAGTTGATTTTGGGGGAAAACTGATGTGATCAAGTGTTTTTTTTTTTAATCTAATTTTAAAAATTTATATTGGAGTATAGTTGAGGATCAAGTTCTTGACATTACGGGTTAGGGTTCAGTAACCCTTACCCCTGGAAGCTTGGTGAAGGCACTGCTTGACTCAGAGGATCATCTCTCGGAAGATAGGGAGATGCTTCCTCCGTAATGCTTCCCAGTAGGGCACAGGCTTTGGGGACTGAGTTCCCCGACGCCCTGTCGTGGAGGCAAAGCGGGAAAGAAACTGAGCTGGCAGCAGCCTCGGATGTGGGCTTCTGTAGGAGATGCCCTGGGCGTGCACCTTTGTGTTGCTTAGAGGAGCTGGGGGCTGCCAGGAGGACTGCCGGGCGCAGGTGCACAGATGCGCTGCCCTCAGCAAGGACGCTCCCCTGAAGGTCGGTGGGCACTGGAGTGCAGCCCACATCCTGTTTGCCCAACTGTGTGGAACCGCTGCACCTCGGGAGAGTGCGCCTTTTTCTGCTTCTCGTAAGACCCCCAAGTCCCTAGCCCAGCTGAACACTCTCCTTCCAGAGACAGTACCTTTTCTCTTACAAAGGTGCTCCGTGGGCTAGCCAGTCCCCTTGGTGAGGGCAGGGGTGCGGGGAGAGGGGCTCCCTGCAGCAGTGAAGATTGCATCTCACAGTACTCATCGCGGTCCCTTTCACAGGGCGCTTCGGACCTGTCTGGTGTCACAGCTAACCTGCAAGACGGGTGGGCCCTCTCCCGTTTTACAGGGGAGAAAGCTGAGGCCCAACCAGGGGAAGTGTTTTTGCCCCAAGGCCACCCATGGAGCCCTGACGCAAGCCTTGGACAGAGGTCTTTTGGCTCCAAACTCGGTGTGCTTTCCTCTCCACCCTTTCCTTCTAAACATAGACATGTCCAGCCAGCCTGTTATCTGCCTCAGTTTCCCTTTTTGCAAAAATAGGAGGGGAAAGAAGTGGAATGAGTCTTGGGATCTAGGGGTAAGGGGGAAGAAAGCATAAACCAACCAAAAAAACTAACGTCTTTGTCTCCTGGGAATATGGGAGCATCGCAGCTCTTCCTGACCCTGCGGCTCTCCTAGCGGGTCTTGCCCCGGGAGCAGCCGCCCACTGGACCCTCGGTAGTCTCCCTGCTGCGCCTGGTGCACCTTGCCAGCGCCGGCCGGTCCTCCTGTGTGTTCGGTACCCGGCTTCCTTTCTGCCCACTGCCCATTTCTCAGACCCCTAGGTCCCCATCCTCCCCTCAGCCCCCTGCCGGAGCAGGTCAGAGGTGAGAGGCTGTCAGGTGGGCGTCACAGCTCCAGGGAAGGAAATGGCTGTTCTGGCTTCGTGCAGGTGAGGCTCAAAACAATCATCTTCAAAGAGAAAAAAAAACTAGGACACGGTGCGCTGGACAGAGCCCCGGAACCGACCGTGGAGGTGCAGCCATGCCAGGCTACGGGGATTCCAGAGACCCCTCCCAGCGAACCCCACTCCCCAGACACCCCCTCCCTCAAGCTCTGCTCAAAGCGCCCTCTCCACCTACCTTGAAAGCCCCCCGGGCTCCCAAGAAGATGAGTCCCCCTTTCACGGAAGAAGCCAATTAATCCTTTCTCATTGAAAAAAGAAAAAAAAAAAGAAAAAACCCTCAGAAAATGGTACCTTAGACCCTCTCCCCCCCAGACCTCCCTTCATCCATCCTTTCGGATGAAAAGCCCTTGAGCCTCTTTCATGAAAGAAGCTCCCAGATCCTCCTTTTAGGGAGAAGGGAAAAAAAAAAAAAAAAAAAAGGACTCAATTCCCGGCCCCCCTTCCCAAGGAGAAAGCCTGGCTTCCCGCGCCCCAGAGCAGCCCTCACCTGGCTGGGGGCGGCGGTCGGTCGGGTTCGCTCCGAGCCCGCGATCGGGCTGCGGGCGGGCGCCGGGCTGCGCACTGACCGCCCGCGCTGCGGCGGGGCCGGGCCTGGCGGGGGTGGCGGCGCCGGGGGCGGGCGGGGCGCGGGGACCCCGGGGTGGGCGCGGGGCGGCGAGGGAAAGAGGACTGCTGGAGAGCGAGGCGCCGGGCCCGCGCGGGGAGAGGCGGGGAGAGGCGGGCAGGGGGAGAGAGGGAGGGGCGCGCCGAGGACCAAGCGCCGGGGCCCAGGGGCACCGCACGGAGGCCCCCCGCGCGGGCCGCGCGAGCGCCGGCCTCGCCTTCCTCCGTGACCTCCCTCGGGCTTCAGCTTCTGCATGTGCAGAACAGGCAGCAGGAATCCAAGTTAGCAGATGGGGAAACTGAGGCCGAGGCCGACACCCCACCGCCGCCCCCAGCTCCGGGGCGGCTCGGGGCAGTCTAGAGACCAGCCTCCTCCCTGGTTGGAGGAGAGGGGCGCGGAGACTGGACTAGCCTCGGGGCTGCAAGGGCAGCGGAAGGGGAGAGTTCGGTGGGGACAGACGGCCAGGCTCGGGGAGGGCGGGGGTGGTCTGCGGGAAGAGAAGGATAAACGGGTCAGTGCGGCCAGGAAAGAAGGGCTTACAGTGCCCGCTCTTTCTTCCTCAGCTCCAAATCGGAAAAGGCCCGTGGTTGGTTAGGAAGGAAGGAAGACCAAATCCCCAGGCATCAGAGGGTCAGCAAGGGGGGTGGGGTGGGCACCCGGGGAGGGGGCGAGGAAGGAGGGTCCTTGCAGAATTGCCTTGTGGCGGAAAGGCTGCTTTCACGGCATCTGCAAGGAGGGAGGGGCTTGCAGAAAGGCGATGGGAGGCCTCAAGGGGCCTGTGTGCAGAGGGACACTGACACCCCGCCTAGCTGGGCCCCGGTGGGCAGGACCCAGCAGGACCCCGGGTCTAGGGGCAGCTGCCGTCCCACCCCGGCACTCACCAGGGCCCTTCCACGGCTTCCGCCCTGGACTCTGAGCCCACCTCCGGGAGGTTGCAGTCCTCTCCTGAAGGCTGTGCTGGGCGTGACCTGCCAGGCACTGGGTAGAGGCTGGCGGAATGGATGGTGGTGAAGAGCCCCACTCCCAGCTGCCAGAAACAGGAGCCCTCGGACTCAGGAGGCCCAAGTTCTAGGCCTGGCTCTGCCCCAGTCTCTGTGGCTCCCCTGTGCTCTGGAGCTCTCCTCCTGCGACTCTCAGAACCTACAGACCCCAGTTAATCTAACATGGGTTAGTCCTCATGAAGGCGTTGACAGTGATGATGAATTCATTAATATTCTCCAGGTGTTGAGGGAAAGATGGAGTGAATGGATATGTATCTGAACAGAAAGGAATGGAAGGAGGCATTTCGGGCTGGGCATGGGGTATTTGGGGGAACACAGAATGAAGCATCTGTCTAGCCCTTCTATCCTTTGTCTCCTCACCAGCCTGTAAAGGTCTAGGAGGGGTGTGGGGAGAGGCTTAGGAGGGCTGGGGAAGACCTGAAGCCAATCCGTGGCAGCCACGACCCTTCTTAGGGCATCAGTACCTCTTCTGAACCAGGAGGTTGGGGTTGCCATCATGAAGGTGCGTTTTGAAGGTGTGATTCCGATGGTGGGAGGGCTGGGAAGAAGGCAGGACTCTAGAGGCAGAACAGCCAAGCCCAGTGGGGCTCTGTCTCAGGATGAAAGCCATTTGACACTCCCTGGGTCCACAAAACATCTCACCAGAGGAGTCGGGGGTGGGGGGTGGGGGTGGGGTGGAGACAGGTGGCTGTGGCAGATGACAGGAGGGTTCAAGGGATGGGACAAGGTGGAGGCCACTGGCAAGGAGATACGGAGGAGGAGGATGCCATGTACTAGTGGGCATCTAGGGGGTGGGGGTGCCCTGGAATGGAATTTAGGGGGCAGCAGGATTCAGAGAAAACAGCCCCAGGGCTTGGCTGTAGTTCCTGCCTGCTCCGGCTTTTTCCTGAACAAGTTGGAGCAACACAGTAATAATTTTCATAGCAAGTTCCTTTCACTGGGTGTTGCACATGCTACCAGTGCCCCTTCTCAAGCCCCCAGGTCTACGTGGAGGTCACCTGCTGGCAGCCCCTGAGCTTGCTCTGTGTCTCTCCTGAGGGAGTCCCAGCTATGGAAGCGAGGGTGGGGCAGGCTAGAAGTGGAAAATTAACACCCTCCAGGGTAACCCTCAACAAGGAGGGTTCAGAGTTAGTGGACAAATCCTCTAGCTTTCAGTCCCCCGAAAGTGGGACAATCCTCAATTCCCAGGCGTGTTCCAGTCTCAGACTCAAGCAGAATGGACCGAAGTTGTCCATGGGGAAAACCTGCTTATCCCTGTAGGCTGTGCTTGCTTTTTTCCTTTTTTGCTTGTTTTCCTCTTATCTCACTTCCCCACTTGCTCACCCTGCTCTGGGATCACCTCCTAAATAAACTACTTGTATCCAGATCTCTCAGGGTCAACTTTTGGGGGATCTCAAACTGAGATAATGAACCAAAACTGTGTTAAGTGCTTTTTTCACTTCACCCACTGTCTTATTTAATTCCTATTTACCTATGGCCGTGCTGTGAGTGATGTGGGACCTTAGCTCCCTGACCAGGAATGAAACCCATCCCCTGCAATGGAAGCATGGAGTCTTAACCACTGGATCACCAGGAAGTCCCCTTATTTACTTACTTCACATCCTCTGAAGTAGATGTCACTAGCCCAGTTTCACAAAGGAAGAGTAAAGAGGTTAGTGCACAGAGGATCTGAAGTCAGGCCGATCCAGCTCCAAAACCCATTCCTTGACCACTACCCCTCTGCAGCCTCCCTAATTCTTTGATCCTCTCGGGGCCTTATTTTTTCATCTGTAAAATGAGGAATGAGCCCTTGAGTTTGAAGGGAGGCAATGTACCCAGTGCCTCCTGCACCTAGGCCTTGTCAGTGAGATGTAAGCAGAAATTATTAGGAAGAACTTCCCTTGTGGTCCAGTGGTTAAGACTGTGAGCTCCCATTGCAGGGGATGGGTTTCATCCCTGGTCGGGTGTGGATTCGATACCCAGTGGGGGAACTAAGATCCCCCATGCCTTATGGCTTGGCCAAAAAAAAATAACAACAACAAAAATTACTAGGAGAGAAAGTGGTTTAGAGGGACTGATGAGGCCACTCTTTTTGCCCTCCCTCTTCCCTTTTTCCAGAGAAGGCAGTGGCACCCACCCCAGTGCTCCTGCCTGGAAAATCCCATGGACGGAGGAGCCTGGTGGCTGTGGCCCGTGGGGTTGCGAAGAGTGGGACGCGACTGAGCGACTTCACTCTCACTTTTCACTTTCACGCAGTGGAGAAGGAAATGGCAGCCCACTCGTGTTCTTGCCTGGAGAATCCCAGGGATGGCAGAGCCTGGTGGGCTGCCATCTGTGGGGTCGCAGAGTTGGACACGACTGAAGCGACTTAGCAGCAGCAGCTTCCCTTTTCCTGGAATGTATGCATGAAAGCTGGAGCTCCAGTTGCCACATTGGGTCAGGAGACAACAATGAAATTTTCTGAAAGTGTTAATTACACTGGGTACTCAGGAGGGAGCTGAGATCCCACTCTCAAGGAGCTGATCCTTTAGGGAGAGTGGCGGGATTTGGATATAAAGAACCACAATGGGTAAAAAGAGATCAGTACCAGGAGAGAGGTGCAGAAACTCCACCTGGGGGAATCAGGGTGGTGTCACAGAAGCTATTTCTAAAAGATCGTGAGGATTTTACATAGTGCTGATAGAGGAGTAAGGGAGTGGGATCCAATCTAAGTTAAAAGTTTGAACAAAGGCATGGAGGTAGCATAGATGTGCCAGTGTGGCTGGTTGAAGAGGGGTTTGTGAAGGAGACACCAGGACAGATAAGGTGTGTGGGGCTTAAATGCTGAGCTAAGGAGCTCGGTTTAACCTGCAGCAAGAGGGAGAATGCCCAGAGCAGTATTTTAAGATTATTCCAGCCACAGAGTGAAAGGCAAGAGACAGAAGAGGCAGGGAGCTCTAAAAGAATCTACCCCAAGTGTCCAGTCTGAACCATGCAGGGTTAGTAAGAAAGGAAAAGGGAAGAAAACAGATGGGAGAGAGACTGAGAAGAACTGCAGAGACAGAGGGCACACACACACCCAGGCTCACAATTTAATTAGCTTCTTGGTTTGCCGGTGGATTACAGGGGAATTAGCAGAGCTCAGAGTCGAGGGACCTTGCTGGGAGTTGAGGGGAAGCTAATGAGAAAGACAACAACAAGCCCCAGGGAGAAACAAAAGGGGAAGGATCATTAGCCAAGCAGAGAAGCTGGCAGGAGAAACAGATGTCAGGGTGCTGAGTCCCTGCCTCCCTGGGAGATTTCAGCCTTCCGGGGGAGCAGACGTTCAGAGCTCCCGGGCAGGCGGGCTGCTAGCCCCACTGCGCCTGGCTCCAACCCCTCTGAGCACTTAAACAGCCGGGCCTGAGGGAGTTGGGAGTTGCTGTGAGGAGCAAGTTCTTAACTCTCTGTTGGTCCTTTTCCCAGAAGCGGATCCCTAGGTCCCTCCTGCAGATGGGGAGGTCGAGGCCTGCTCCTGACTAGATGTGGCAAATTCCATTTTCCAAAGATGCTGTGATGGCATCTCCCATCCCACCCTGTTCTTCTTACACTGGGACCACGCCACTACCCTCTAAGAGGACGACCTGGGTTCACCCGTAAAAGGTGATGCTGCTTGTCTGGTGCTCTCCCTCTTGAAATTCACGCTTGGAATCCAGCCGTCATGATGTGAGAAAGCCCAGGCCACATGGAAAGGCTGTGTGTGGCTGTTGTGGCCAACAGCCCGAGGCAGGCCCAGTTATCTAATTTGCAGGGTCCAGCGCAAAATGGAAAGACGGGCTTTTTGTTCAAAAATTAAGAATTTAGGTGGTGATAACAGCCTTACACCAAGCATAGAGGCTACGTGTGGGACTCTGTGTAGCTGTATAAAGCATCCCATGAAGCTGGCCCTGACCCCAGCTGAGGTTCCAGCATCCCCTCTTTGCAGTACGGGTGCGGAAGCCTTCAAGATGACTCGGGGCCCAGTCACTGTCTGATGGCAGCTGCAGAAGAACTCCAAATGGGAACCACGTGGCTGACCCAGTGCACTTCCAGATCCACTAGGGACAGAACTGACTGCTCTAAACCAGAAACTTCGGAGTTACTGCACAGCCTTAGATAGCTGGAACGCTGGGGGAACTAGAACGTGTCACAATCGGACTGAAGAGGCAGTACAGTGACTGCGTTTCTCTGCGAACCCAGACTCCTGATCTGAGCTGTTGTTTCCGGTCCTTCTTGGCCCAGGCTGGCAGAGGGGACTGGAGGCACAGGTGACCCCACACCCCACTGAGGGCCCTCTCACTATGGAAGATGGTGGAGCGTTCTGAGTTGAGTTCTCCGTTTCTTGAGGTTAAAACCACTCCAACTTTTACAAGTTATTTCCTCTCCCTGGGTCTTGGTTTCTGTGGAGGTACACTGAAATGATTTCCTAATTTAAGGCATGTGAGTCTCTGGAGGGAAAACACGGAGGACCTGGTGACTAGAAGGTGAGGGCAAGTAAAGAAACGGGAGGAGTCAAAAGCGTTGTCTCCACCTCTTTCGCTGGCATCTGGGAGGACAGGAAGGGAAGAGTTCAGCCTGCGTCAGACGATGACTGGTTCCACTTTGGGCACGTAGATCACACTACCTTTGGGGGCTAGAAAATTGGGGGGGTGGGTACTTACATAGTGTCATTAATTAGGTAGAGAATATAACTATGCAGGAATTGACTAGATGAGCACCAAAATATTTAGTTATTTATGGTGGATTTAGGGATAGTTTACTCTGTAAAATGTTTTCTATTTCCCAAATTTTCTACAATGAATATCTAGTCCTTTCACTTGAAAAGTAATTTAAAATATCAATAAAAACTTTAATTTCTTTCAAATATAACCAAATACATATTGGAATTGGAATATTATAAAAGAGGGAGTTTAGAGAAGACACATGATTTAATAAACTGTATGGCAATGACTAGGCAGCCATCTAGAAAGCTTTAAGTTGGATCCATACATCATATATGCACATATGTGTGCATGCTCAGTCATGTCCAACTCTTTGAGACCCCACGGACTGTAGCCCACCAGGCTCCCCTGTCCATGGGATTTCCCAGGCAAGAATACTGGAGTGGGTTGCCATTTCCTTCTCCAGGAGATATTCCAAGACATCATACCTGATATCAAAATAAATTCCAAATGAATCACATATTTAAATGTAAGAATGAAACAAAAAATGTACCCCCCCCAAAAAATCAAGTCATATTGAAAAAAATTTCAGAGTGAAGTCTGAAGTATGACATAAAATCCAGAATTCATTAAAAAAAATTTAAGCTTTTACTATAGCTTAAAAGGAAAACATATTAACATAGCAAACTGCCAGAGCAAAGTCAAGACAAACTACAAACTGGAAAATATATTTGTAATTCATAGCACAGAGAGCAAATTTCTTTAATATATAAGAGCTCTAAGAAAAGACAACTCAGTAGGAAAGTGGCTAAAGGATATAGCAGTTAATAAAAAAGAAAATACAAGTAACTCAGAATAAGATGCCATCCTTTTTTACCTTTCAGGTTATCCAAGATCAATAGGTTTATAACATATTCTGTTGGTGAGGAGGTGGAGAAACATTCATACCCTTTTAGTGCGATGGTCAACTGGTACCACTAGATAATTGGACATTATCTACCAAATTTTAAGATATGCATGACCTTCAACTCTTTGATTCTATTTCCTGAAAAGCTGTTATTCTGATATATACCCACATCTGAAATGACATGTTATTCAGAGCAGCATTGTTTGCAATAACAATAGAGGACCCATCCAATAATTTCTGAGACATAGAATACTAATAACTGTTTATAGAAGAATGAGGAGTCATTTTGCATACTGATATGAAATAATCTCTAAGATCTACTATTACGTGGAAAAAACAAGGTGTACATTTGTTTTGAGGTGATTGGTATGTAGCTGAAATAAAAGTCCAGTCAAGCTGTGGTCATCTGAAGTCTTTCAAAGATGCTTTATGCATCCCCTCCACAAGTCACGGATTATAGCAGCTTCATTC